GTCCGGGTGGTAAACTATTCACAACATTCTTGTTGATCGGAATCTGGGTCTTGGTCATCTTGATCTGAAATAATTAATGAACGAGTGAACTATATTAGCCTAATAAGAATATCACACTACTCACCGATACAGAAATAAAAGTTTGTAAGAATCATAAAAATAATTAATTGAGCTCTTAATTTAAGTAAATTCATTCATCATAAATAAAATTATTTACTGCATACTTACTTTAGCAAGATTTCCTAAACTGATATATAGAAGCAATAACATAACCAATATCATAATCTCATATTCAATTAGCTAGAACAACAACTTTCATTTTTTATCTGTCTACTGGTATTCATAGGGGTCAATAGGGATGTCTCCACTATGATGAACTCTTATTTAACACTGTCAACTAACTGGTCGTCCCCATACCTCATCCGGTATGAAGGTAAAACGGGTCGTCCCCATACCCCGTCCGGTATGACCGTCAAAATACCAATTCTTGATACCCCGTCCGGTATGAGGCAATGTTCACGGTAGGGTTCCCTATGTAACAACCCCGGAAAAATTTAATATTGGAAAGGCATATATATAGATAAATAATCTGAATTTGCGGAAGCGTATTAAACATTGCAATTAACATCCCTTACGCAATACCAAAACGTGTTCAACAAATGAGGGAATAAACTAATCAAAATAAATGCTCGAAAGTAAGAACTACAATTATAACTATGGGATCTTTAGGCGTCCCCTTCGCCGTCTTCCTGCGGAACGGGCTCGGGAACCACGTCTTCCTGATCTGAAATTCTTAAGTAAGGAGTGAGCTACACTAGCCTAGTAAAGACATCACTCTACCTCACTGCCACAGGAGTAAGGGTTGGTAGAAAACAAAAACGACCAATGGAGCATAATTTGTAATAAACCCATTTGTTCATAAAAACGTTTACTTTTCATTTACCTGGGTGAGATCCATAAAACAATACACAAGCAACACATTATCATCATCACGTTATCACATAGACTTTATAATACAACATTTATCACGCGTTTGCATTTCAATCTTTAAACAGCATAATTTCTCTTTACCAGCCTACTAGTATCCATGGGGATCCATAGGGGTCCCGCTACCCGTGAGCCCTTAACATTTATAACCTGATTCTAGGGCCGTCCCCATACCCCGTCCGGTATGGGCGCCAAAACCATGAACCTCAATACCCCGTCCGGTATGAGGGTGAAACGGGCCGTCCCCATACCCCGTCTGGTATGGGCACCAAAACAGATAAGGTCTCCATACCCCGTCCGGTATGAGAGACCACGTTTCCGGTAGGGTTCCCTACGGACCCGGTCCGTCCACCATCTCCCAGGATACCTAGTCAGGCTGTCCACATTATCCGTTTGCCAATTCACATAACCTTTTATCCCTTTTTCTTTAATCACCATCATCAAGTGACACACAAACATGCAAACCAGTAGTTCATGCCAAGAAGACAACACACAACATCGGGTTCTCAGTCATTCAGTCCATAATCAATGAAACAGTGATACATGCACACAAAACTATGAAATAAAAATATCAGACATCATACTGCATTTAAAACTATAAAATAGAACAAACAACAACTGACCGATAAATACACAAGACTCGGGCTCCATTAGCAACCTTAAACAATTTCACACAGCTATTGATTCATAAAATACCATTTTATCATTTATTGCACTTTAATACCGTGATAGGAAATAGGGTGAGGAATCCTTACTTGTTTTCGGGACACGAAATAGGCTTTTTCGAGCACCTGCGGGTTATCCCTAAATTTTCTGAATTTTTTTCCGAAAAACTGAAACACGCTACCAGTACCTGCACGTGTCCCAAAAATCTCAGAATCAGACCTAGGGCCCCTTTTGGCCAATATTGCAATTCTGGCACGGCGGCTCCGCCGTACTCCGGCGATGGCGCCGCCGCAAACGGCGGCAATTCACCTCGGGTTGGCCTTTTTCGGCCGAATTCGGCCACACTTACATCGGTCCTTGCGATAAAACAACCCTAGGGCCCTTGGGGGGCCAAAAACTTACGAAAAATTGAAGCTTACCGGCGATGCTCTCGAGTGCGGCGGCTCTCCGGCGTGGTTCGTGTTTTGGTGATTTGGCTCTGATCAACCTGTAGAGAAAAGAATGGTGATCACGGTGATATAAAAATTGTATCAAACGGAGGCCAGGAAGGGCCTCATCGGAGGCAAAAATCGAGGAGAGGCGCGGTGGCGCC